CTACTATGGCGATCACTTTTAATTCTCATGAAAACTCATCCTTTCAGAGTCAACTCCAGCCAGGCCAGTCTTTCAGTTGATCATTTCTGGGTTTCAGTATCCTCCTTGGAATTATGAGAACCTCTGTAGCTTAAAGTCAAATATCTCAGTGGGGGGTTGGGGTGGGGAGAAAAGATTTTTGAGAAGGCTTGTTTGCCTTTTGCTCTCCTCAAGCATATAAACCCCACTTTTTGGACTAGTTTGTAATATCTAGTCAAGGAGCATTTTCCTTATTCCCAAAATCAGCAAGTTTATTTTGGAGCCTTTTCATAACATAAATGTTCTGAAAAGCTGCGATCAAATTCATGGTCTTTTGATTAGGTTTAAAGTTTCACATCCAGGTTTAAAGAATGGAGAAAAAGATTTATCAGTGTTTCTGACAGAGCTGAGTTAATGGGATGTTCCTGCAGTCAGAATCTTCATTGAAGAGGTCTTCGTCCTCAGCAGGGATGGTACAGGGGGACGGGTTTTGCTCTTTCCCAGTTATTCCTGTACTAACTCTTTGCTCTTCTCTTTTATTTCCCTCATAACTCACACTTCCCCTCGCTATTCTAGAATTCTTGGGGAAATCAGTAATGGGTGAATACGAATGAGGTAGGAGCAACCTGCTGAGCTGTACATCTCCCTTCCCAGTAAAATACAGAACTTCTGACCAGTGGGAGCCACAGAGCCAGACTTGGGAACACACCACTTGTTTTTGATTTTTCTTTCCAGACCTGATCGATTTGATTGTTTGTTACATTCAGTCCTTGGGCATCAACCCTTGAATATCATCAGCTTACCTCTATGGTCTTAGCGGGCAGAATAATGTCAGGTTCCTCCCCTTGCTCTAATTTCCTGAGTAGCCAGTTGTTCAAATAGCAGTTGATCACCTTTATTTGAAATAGACTGAAAACTTGATTATTTTCATGGGGAATGGAGAACCTCAGGTTTCCCACTTTATGCTTTGTTTCTTTTCTTTCAATCCTTTACTGGCAGGCAGCTCAGTTGATTCACTGTGCATCAGCTTCAGAGACATCTCTTCATCTATATATAGTAAGCTGCTTGCACAGATGCATTTAAAAACAGATGATATATTAAATTTGTGGAATTCAGTAACAGTGAAGGTATAAAGACTCCTGCTTGTACATAAATAGGTATTTTTGTTTAGTTTTTTATTGACTTGGGGACTGGAGAAGAAATCTAAATGATGATATACAGTAACAGAATTTATTGCATTCCTACTTTTTAAAACTTCCTTGATCTAGCACTGTGTTTGAAAATAATCCCTTGAACTAGTGTTAGATATATCTTGGTGAGGGTGGTTGTGTATTAAATTATGTCCTCTTAAATATGCTCCTGATTTGAGTACCTTTTGCAGTGAATACATAATATATGACTCTTATGGTATTTAAATTATTGAATGATTTCTTCTAGAATGAATAATCCCAAGGCCTAGAAACATAAAGGCATTTTATTTAGACTGCTTAGAATTAAGAGGAATTAAGATAGACTAAGGAAAGGGGAAATTCATGCAAATACTGTTTCTTTGTGGTCAGACATCTTAGAAGGATTGTTGTATATATACATGGCCAGACATATACCTTACACCATAATTCTGAATTTGCTGCTTATTTTCTTCCTTATAAACATTGTTAGAGTTAGCAGGGATTATGCAATGTATGAAATAATACACACCGACTCTAAGGTTGTACCCAGGTCATACTGATACAGGGTTCATTCTTTTACGTGAATGGGACACTTGGTCAGATTTCAGATTAGACTAGAGTTTGGTGTTAACTGCTGAGAGGCACAAATGGAATTTTCAGATAACTGAACTCTCATTTAGTTTGAGATGGAAAAGGTTTATTAGATGAACCTTCCTCTTTGAACTAGAGCCATTTAAAAAAAAAGCAACTAAACTCCGTGAATCATAGACTTAACCTTCTGGTTTCATGAAGCAAGAAGTTTTTCAGTCAAGAAGTTTGCATAGTGGATTCCTTATGGCCCTATCTGTATATGGGTTTTTGGAAAGGTGCGAATTGCTGTTTCAGAATTATTCTTGGACAATAGATGTATTTTTCATTAATTATTTCTTTTTTGAAGTGTTCAGACTTACTGTATTAGGTTTCCCTGTTCTCTGAAATCAAATCAGTTTGATACATTTAATCATTTTCCAGTAGCTCATCTTATACTGGGCCTTAGAAACACTGTAAAAGGTAACAAATAGATCCCCTTTTCCCCTCTTAGTTTATCCTGCCTGGCCCTCCTCGTTCTTCCAAGGAAACATATGGCACAGTATTAAGTATTTCCCTTCACTTCAGAGTCACAGAGACCTGATGTGAATCCTAGTTCCTACACTTCTGTGCCATCTAACCTAAGGCAAAAGTTTAAAGGTTTGATCCTTAGTTTTTTCATCTGTAAAATGGAGATAATAATTGTAATATCCCCACAGGGCTTTTTTTTTTTTTAAGTCTGTCAGTCATTTAATACATGGCTGACACACAGCGACACTCAGTGTCTCCTCTTATAATTTTATTATTACTGTTGCTGCTGATGTATAATTTATTCTGAAATCAAGTTCTTAATTTAAATTTATTTTACTGACGCTGATCTCCTAGACTTCTTTGGCCCTGGCCTGAATCATCTATATCCCTCAGCCCCTTTGTCTGTCTTGGCACAGAATGAACCCAGGCAGTCACACTCTGGGCCTGTTATCTTAGCAGCACAGGCTTTCAGGAGACCCTGGAGAAACAGAGAAGTGGGAAGCCCAGGTTCTGGAATCAGAATGCTTGAGTTCAGAACCTGTTGTACCTCTTATTAATGGATAACCTTAGGGAAATTACTTAATCTCTCTGGGCCTCATTTTCCTTACCTGTAAAGTAGGATAATAATACCTATTCTGTCCAGTGGGGAGTTATGAAGATTAAATGAGTTAAAACTTGAAAAAATGTAGGTCAGTATCTAGCACAGAGCATAGGTTCTATCAGTGTTAGCTATTAGTGTGGCTGTTGCCACTTCTATCTTTTATTCTGCAAGGCTTTCTTAATTTTAACAGTGTTAATTTGTAAATGATGATAATACCCTCCTATTTAGATTTCTCTGACTGTATGTATCATCATTTAGAGATGCAGTTCAATTTAAGAAACAGTTGTTAAATACCTACTGTGTATTGAGTGCTATTGGTTGGGAGAGCATCATAGATTAATAAGATACATTCCCTGTCCTCCAGGAGTTTACATTTATTTGGGGGTAAGTATTACACAGGGCAAAATGTCTCTATACTTTTTGTAACAGATACAAGGTAGTTCATCGGAGGCCTGGAGTAATTCTTAATTGGGAAGGTCAGGTGAAAAAGTGATGAGGTAGGCATTTCCAGGTGAAGTGAATTGTGAGTAATTGGACAATCCGGATTGTGGTGACTTAGAATGGGTGAGGGCGTCCCTGGTGGCTCAGATGGTAAAGAATCTGCCTGCAGTGCGGGAGATCGGGGTTTGATCCCTGGGTTGGGAAGATCCAGTGCCATCCCTGCAACATAAGAAGGTGTAGTAAACTTGATAAAATAGGAGTGTAAGGAGGTAGCAGAGTTGAAGTTGGCTTAAAAATTTTAGTGTTAGTCCTGGGGAGGAGGATGGTGATACCATTAAAGAGAAGAAGGATGGAGAGCTGATTAGATTTGAGGAGGTGGGTGGGGAAGACGTGGCTCAGCAGGTAAAGAATCTACTTGCAATGCAGAATACACAGGAGACACAGGTTCGATATAGGGGTCTGGGAAAGTCCCCTGGAGAAAGAAATGGCAACCCACTCCAGTATTCTTGCCTGAAAAATCCCGTGGACAGGGGAGCCTGGCGGGCTACAGTCCAGTGAGTCACAGAGTCGGACATGACTGAGTGCCGAGGCACAAGTGATAGGTTCTGGACTTGCTGAGTCTGAGGGACAGTCAGGAGACTGGTTCCAGGTCTGCCATTTTGGGAGGCCATCTTAAAAACTGCTTTGTGGATGGGAAAGACGGACGTTAGGGTAAGTGATTCCTCATAGATACAGGTCACCCTCAGATGGGACTTGCAGGACCTTAGAATGAAGACTTATCACAGAAGGGAACTTCCCTTGGCCCGTGAGATCCTCTCAACCTTCCTTTTCCGAACATGTTCTCACTTCACTTCTGAATGGAGGCCTTTGTCATTCCTCATAGTGTGCAGTGGTAATAATACCCTTTCACTCACATTTGAAATAAAGATAACTGGCTTTTAACTTTTAAAAAATTCCAAAAAAAGAGAAAATTCCTAGTAACTTGTTACATAAAGTGGTGTTGCCAGAGTAGAAATAGGAGAAAACCCTTGCATCGCCCTCCCCTAGCCCGGATGTGCTTTGAATCACCTAGCTTTGTGGTTCAGTCAACAGAAGACAGCTCGAAGTGAAGAGGAAGAGGCAGAGAAGAGTTGTTTTAATGGTAAAATAGTTTCTGGCTGAGGGAAATGCATTGCTTGGTGAAAACAGGTATAATTTCTAGATCCAAAAGAGAAAATTTTACAAATGAGCATTCCTCCCTGATCTGTAACTCGCTACACTTAACCGTGGTAAACATTTGCCACCAGGAGGAAGGCGTAGAACAGCTAGAGAAAGCCTTTTCTGCTGGGCAGTGGTCCTCATTATGTTTTCTTTGAGTTAAGAATTTGTGTGTTTTCAGTCCTGGAGGAGGACACAGTGTTGTAGGAGGTTTTGAGCAATAGTCAAGACTCTGGTACTTTGTGGATTGTTATCGCCCTGCAAGACCCTTCGCAACTTCCTCTCGCCGCCCACAGCAGAATACGGAAGCCCTGCTGTATCAGGCCACTTCTGCAATTACAGCCACAGTTACTGGGGATCCTTCTTTCACACTACACCCTTGTGTGTCGAGGCTTTCTTTGCATTTGAAAATGTGTCTTTTGTGGTGGAACAGCCGACTAAGCCTTCATCTCCCCTCTCTCTTTGCTGTCCTGCAGTGCTGCAGTTGAAGCTCCAGCAGCGCCGGACGAGGGAGGAGCTGGTGAGCCAAGGGATCATGCCGCGTAAGTACCCCCCTGCCTCTCAGCTCTTGATGGAGGTGTTTTGGGAACGCGGTGTGTGTACCCAGTACGGGAAGCACCTAACAGAAAACAGGGCCACCGAGTTCGTTTTTTGCTCCTTTCTTTGTCATGCTTTCCCAAGTTCAGGGCCTCTCACTTGGCCATAGTTAAGAGAACTGTGCTCATTGATCAAGTTCAGAGAAACAACGTTAGGTTTAAGGGTGCCATTGAATCACCCTTAGCTTGTGAACTGCACCTTTAAATGGGTTTCTCCGCCCTGTGCCACTTCCCTTTGTAGGAGGAACAGATCTTGAGCTGGGGTTCTGGGAGGAAGAGCTCTCCCCGCATGTGTTTTGCCTGAGTGTTGGGGTGCTTGGAAGGGATGGCCCTTTCTCACCTAGTATTCCAAGTCAGCTCCAGTTTTATTCAGAGAGCCTCAGATACCCTAGCCTGGTGTGACTGGAGTCATTGATGGGGTATTGCAGGGGGCGCTCGGTTCAGAACTGCATCACTCGGTAGAAATAAAACCCATCTTGGAATCTATTCAAAGTAAGAAAATTTGCCTTTAATACCAGCAGCCTTATAAAACAAGCGGAAGCTGACACCAGCAGGGTTTTGCTCTTTTTGACATTTCTTTTTGAGTCATCTGCAGAGAGCTTAGGCTCTCCCTCTTCGTTCTTTTATCTTTGTGTGTTCCTGCTACTTGGGCACAGCCGAATGAAATAAAAATTTATATATCGTTCACCACTTCCAGCTTCATAGTGGAAGGACTGATGTTTTAATTTTTTAAACCTTAACTCAGTGCCTGCTAACCTGCTGTGCTATATCTTGCTAATTCTCACTCACTCATTCATTCACAGTGTTTAGGTGACTGGTGTGTGCCTGTTGTTGCAGCAAGATAAACCCAGCTCCTGCTTTCAGGAGTTTTGTACTTACTAAGTAGGCTGGTAACATAGCAAACAGGGAGACAAATAAACTAACACCATTGCTTCAGAACATGGTAAATGCTCTGAAGTAAATGTAACTGGTTGGCATATTAACAGATAATAGGGATGAGAGGGGATCACTTTGAAGAAGTTGGTCAAGAAAGGCCTCCTCGAGAAGGAAATATCTGAGCTGAGATCTGAAGGATTAGATGGGATCAGTCATTCAGAAGCAGGAAGAGGGCCCAGAAAGAAGGGAAAGCAAGTATGAGGGCCCAGTGCAGTTAAGAGCCTGGCATGTTGAACACATCAAGGAAGCCAGGGTTGCTGGGCCTGGTAAGTGAGGGCAGAGTAGGGGCCAGTTAAGATTGGCAGGATGGGTGGGGCCAGAACTAGAGCCCTGTCAACCACACGGAGGAGGTAGATTCTATTTTAACTGCAGTGGGAAGCCATTGAAGGCTTTCAAGCAAGTGAAGACAGGATCTGATTTACCTCGTGGTGATACCAGATCCATTTCTAAGAGCTGGAACTTCATAGCAAGTATAAAGATCCTGAGGTCTGTTTCTGTCCTAAGCATCAGCCAGGAGATTCAAGTCTTCTTTTTAAAAATTGCAATTAACTACCAAACCATTTGCCCACATGCTGTCTCCTTCTCTGACCTTGCAGTCAAGTACTCTTCTCCTTAAAGCGTGGGTCCATTAATGTGCTCAGGTAGAGTGGTGGTGTGCTTTTATAAAACACTCCAAATCTGCTAGTCTACAAACCTTGTAGAGGAACAAGTCACCCCGTATCAATCTCATTGTCACTTTCGCCAAGGACATCCTGTGTTTAGGATCTGCTTTTTGCCTGTGATAATCCTAGGTGCTTTAGAGATTAAAGAAATATTCAGCATGGCACCTGCCCTTAAGACAGTTAACAGTTTATCTAGGTAGTAGGATTTGCCCATACACAACATAAAGAGCAGTTCAGTGCTGATCTGTGGGGTGCTGACTCTGATTATAGCACGAGTTCTGAGAACAAAGTGCTGCCTCTCAGAATCTGTAGTATGTTCAGGATCTAAAAACCACTCAGAGGATGAGGGCCTTACGTTCTTTTTGCAGCCTTTCATTTGATACCAGGGGCTACTGGAGATAACTGTTTAGTAGGATTTATCGTGTCGCATTTCTTGCAGTATTCTGTGCTGTTAAGACAAATGATGCTTGAGTATTGCAGTTATCTGCTTAGATGTTTGTCTCTCCAGTTAGACTGTGAGCTCCTTGAGGAGGTATCTTATTTATATTTCTGCCCCCAATACATGTCACTGAATGAATGAGTGAAGACAGCCAATTGTAAAATGGTGTGTGTGTGTGTGAGAGAGAGAGAGAGAATATGAAAGACAGACAGAAACAGATACTACTTAATTGCAAACTTGTTGGATTTCTGGGCATGGAATTTGAAACACCACTCCTGTTCTCCCAGGAGCTCAGATTCTAAAATATTCTGAGTATCTAATTGTGTACCTTGGGTGGTTCTCTACATCTGTGAAGTGAGAGTAACTGCCCTTCCTGTAGGAATAGAAACGCCCTGCTTCTGTGAGAATATTGCATTCTCCCTTATAACACAAGCCACCTTCAATGATGGGCACAGTTTGTTTTTCAGCTTTTCCAGTGAAGAAAGTAGGTAGCAAACTCTCAGATTGTGAGAGAGGGAGTATTGAGGCCTGGGAAGAGCTCCCGGTGTGAAGTGCCCTGCTCTTCAGCGTACCTGGTGATGTGCAGATGGGGCCCAGAGTTCCCAAAGATGAGGCTCTTTTTTCCCAGCCCTTCACCCTCTGAGTAACCCCACTTCCTCACCACAGCCCCTCGCCACCACCGTAACTCCTGTTATAATCTGGGACATTCTTTGCCTCCCTGACACCCCACCAATCCCATGCTCATCCTTCGCTCACGTCTTTCAAAAGAAAATGAGTAGTGCTGGAGGCAAATCGTAACTGATCAGCAGTTTGTTGATTATTGAAGACTGGAGATCTGGAAAGATAGCATCTGGTTTGAAGTGCCCGTTTCACTTCCATCTCGCTGGCCTGAGGAGTTTCTGAAAAGTGCCTTTAATGTTTAAGTTAGCTGTATAACTTAGGAAAGTCATTAAGACCCTCAAACCAGGGGAAAGGGGCAGTGTAGTCATGGCCGTATTCTGCCTCATCAATTTCTGTTTATGTCTTTTATCCGGTTCATCTCGTCCCGATCTTTCTGTAGCTCTGGGAAGAACTCATGCACCTTGTTCCACGCGGCGTTCCCACAGCTCCCACAGGGGCCTCTGGCTTCCAGTCCCCACATCATGTCTGCATGGCAGGATGTTTTCAGGGGCTGCCCTGCCTTCAGGGTTGTTCACAGTTTTGCGTATTGTTCGAAGTTGGACAGTGGCCTTCCCATAGAATTCAGGGGATTTAAGAGCCTCTCAGTTCCCATACACCTGTTTCTGCTGCTTGATATGCTCTGCTCATGGCATCTGAACTATGGGGTATTGAAGTTGGTGGTTTCTAATGTGTTTTTAAATAGGATCAGTTCCCAGACTCACTCATTCTCATCATGTAAACCTATGTCTCAAATTTAACACTACTTAAACTGTACCAAATACAGAGTGCCAGATAACAAAGAATTACATATTCCAGGCCCTATGCTTTCTTTCCTGATGTCTGAAGCTCTGCATATCTTGAGGGAAGAGGAGAGATGGCACAGATAGGAAGCTGGTGTTTTAAGTCCAGAAATTAAGGAATGCTTCTGTATTTCAGATGAAGAGTCATAGAAGAAGAGGGTCCTGTGTGGTTCACTTTGTTCTCAAACAGAGCTTTCCCCACAGCCTTTCTCTCTGACATTTAAAGTTGTACAAGCCAGAAAGTTAAGGTGAAAATTAAGAAAAATATTCTGGCAGTCAGGGCTGCTGCAGAGAAATAACCTTTTAAAGGAAAACATGGAAGTTCTCCTGACCCAAACAAATGACAGAAAAGTCTCCTGTAATCTTCCTAGATATGAGAGAAGAGCCTCATTTGTTTGCTCCCTCTCAGCCTCTTGTTATTCTACTATGAGCCCTTGAGGAAAAGCAGAGATTACATTTTCTAATGCCTCAGTTACCAATTTCCAGTTCATTATTGCCCTGTATGCATATAGTAGGAAAAGGTCAGTACCTTGGCAAACCCGTGAGGAAATCATCTGTTTGTCCAGTAGGTTAGGGACTTCCCTCTATATTTCTTGAGTGAGCTTTTTGAAAAAACTTTTTTCATTTTAAATGGTGTTTCTGTGCACCTAGCCACTGCCACTGGTGACACTTTCTTCAGAATTGTTGGGAGAATATACCCAGAGTGTGAAGGCATCACAACTCAGGGCAGCCAGGGTCGATCCAGAGGCCTCTCAATGGGCCTGGGCCCTGAGAGGCACTCAGACTTGCTGCTGGGTGAAAATGTGAACCAGTAGTCAGCGAGTTTGGTTGGTTTGTGGATCTGCTAGTGGGCCCGTGTTCTCACATGAAACTGGAAAAAAATGGTCTTGTGTGATGGAGTTCCTGCAGCTCTGTTTTTAATAAGCTTTACCACATCTTGACTCCTGACCCTTCAGTTCTGCAGTTCGACCCCTTTGTCAAACTTTAGCTGTCGGCCTTGGCCAACTGCTGCACAGAGACCCACAGAGCTACTGCCCTCGTAGCTCCTCTAGGCTGGCATTTTACTGGGACCCATGTTAGCTGGAAATCCTCTGTCCATCTGACTGTAGCAGTCTCTGTATCAGGAAGAAATGTCTTCTAAACACTGACAAAAGATTATTTAATGGCCGAAAGTGTCAGGATTAATTATTACGATCTCTTTTCCTCTGTAGCTGAAATTCTTCTTAATAATAGTATTTTTGTTATTTGTAACTTGGAAATTATTCCTATATTATTCTTCATCAAAGGTATATAAACTTTGTTTCAAGATTCTCTTTCCTGAGTACATACAGATAAAATCCGTTTTGGTGAAGCTCTTTTAAAAATAACTCTTGGTGTTCATAACCCCTGAGAAGATAAACCAACCTCCTCAGGCCTCAAAATTTCTTGTAGTAAGAAAGGAGGTGTGAT